GTACGTGGCCTCTAGAGTTGAGCTTACTTGTGTGTTGTCAGTGGAATGCCTTTGAGGGGTTTACTGAAAGCAGAGAATTGGTTAAAGACTTAAGTTTTAGACAGTTATGAAAGCACGAAGGCAAGTGCAGAGGCAAGAGCCTTCGGTTCTGTAGGGAACGAAGAAGGGGCTGTGACCCTAGGGCGGGTATGTAGGCATGAGGCGCGAAGCTAAGGGCAGTGGTGGGAAGATGACTAAGAGAGGAAGAAGGCATGTGTGCTCTTTTATGGTGGTGGGGGTTGGAGGAGAGCCTGAGTCATTATCGATGCCATTAACTGAGAAAGGACTGGAGAAGGAATCCTATCTAATAAAGAGGGATATGCTAATTGCCCGTCCTGCCCTCAAAGATGGCAGTGCCCACAGCCAATAAGGAGGGAATATGCTAATTGCCCTGCCCTCAAAGAGGGCGGCGCCCACAGCCAATAAGGAGGGAATATGCTACTTGACTGCCCCACCCTCAAAGATGGTGGCACCCACAGCCAATAAGGAGGGAATTTGCTAATTGACTGCCATACCCTCAAAGATGGCGGCACTCACAGCCACAGGATGGTGACTCCCAGTCCCCTCAGCCCCACCAGTGCGCCTGCCTCCGGAGTCCCCCAGTCCCCTCAGCTCCCCAGCGCCCCCAGGGCCGCCTGAGGCTCAGGTCCAGGCCCGGCCGAGGCTTGTGCTGCTGGCAGTGGCAGCAGCAGAGGGGTGATGGGGCATCGCCTTCCCCTGATTGCTGGGTCGCCTCCCGCCCCTGAGGGCTCCCGGACTGTGAGGGGGCCAGGCCGGGCTGAGGGACCCCCTCCAGTGCATGGATTTTCATGCACCGGCCTCTAGTAGAGTGATAAGGAGAAAGAGTTTCTGTTTTGAATGCATTGAGCTGGTCTGAACAGAACCACTTCTTGTATAGAACCAGAACTTGGGAGAAAGGTCTGGAGTGGAAGTGAAACACTGAGACACATGCGTATGTATTATACAGTATTTAAAGATTTAAACATGAGGAAAGAAGAAAGTTCAAATAGCAGTGAAGTGTTTAACATTTGAAGATAGAGCAGAGAAGCAAAAAAATGAGTATTTTAGGAGAACCCCCCCAAAGAGGAGGCGGCAGTCAGTCCTGTCAAAGATAGAGGTTAAGGGAAGTTTTTTAACTTGACAGTCGAATCACTGCCCATCTTTACAAGAGCACTTTCTGAGGGGACCTGGAGAAGATTGTAATTAGGTTAATGAATGAGTAGCAAGTGAGCAAGTGTTGGCTTTTCTCAGTATAGAGACAAAGAAAGTGAGGGAGAGGATTTTAAAGAGAGATGGTAGGATCATTTGCTTATCCACACTAATAAAAGAGAAATATGTAAATTAAGCATCACTTTGCGACACCCACCAGCCAATCAGGAGTGAGTATGCAAATTAGTGGGACAAAGATGACAGAAGCCATGGAGCCAGCCAGAGTGGGTGAGAGGCTTGGGTTGCCCTTGGCGATGGAGGAAGCCAAGCTTCCTGCCCGCCCTGGACGGCTGCTGAAGGAGGGGCCTGTGGGTGGTGGCTACAGAGCCCTGCCCAAGCATGTGGGAGGCTTGGGTCGCTGGGGGCGACCCAAACTTCCCACCTGCCCTGGCCGCCCGCTGAAGGAGGGGCCTGCAAATGGCCCTCAGCCCCTCACCCAGGTTGGCCATGCCACCATTGGGTGAAGGTCCCCGCTGGGGAGCATGGCCAGCCTGAAAACAGCCCTCAGTCCCTTACCCAGGCTGGCCCAACCCCTTGCCCAGGCTGGCATCATCCCCAGTGGGGACCCCCACCCCAATGTGGGTGTGGCCAGCCTGCAAACCACCACAGGCCACTTGCCCAGGCTGCCCCGTAGTCTGAAGGGTCCCAGATTGGAGAGGGTGCAGACTGGGCTGAGGGGACCCCCCCCAAAAAAATTTTGTGCACCGGGCCTCTAATGCTGGGATAAGAGGAAGGAGTAAGTTTGTAGGCTAAGGAGAGAGTGCAAAGGAAATGTTAAAGGTATGCAGAACAGATAAATAATGGAATGAGATTCTGGCAGGAGTAAGGTGTATTATGGACTCAGGGGGGACATTAATCTTGGAAAGGGGGAGAAGGACTTTTAGAGTCATTAAAAGTTAAAACCCAAACATTTATGGTAGGAAATGAAGCATCTAGGGTTTCTAAGTTTTTCTGAAATAATTCTGGAGTGTCAATTTATATCCTGAAAATCACAGCTTCTAACTTCTACAATAATTAGTATTCTTGAAAATACTTGTCAACCATTCTCATGGTAGATCTGGCAAATAATGGAATCAGATCAAACACAGGCAGTGTTGTCAGCGTGCATGTTCTGTTACATTTGGCAACACTGATAACCCTTGTGTGAAGATAGATTTAAGCTTCAAGCTATCCATTGGGGTATCACTAACTTCAGCATCACGAATAAATCTGAAAAAGAAAATCCATACACTTCAACCATTTCTGAACGCTAATTTTTATGTCTGCTTTTATAAGTACTACTAGAGGCCCGATGCACAAAAATTTGTGCACTCGGGGGGGAAAAAGAGTCCCTCAGCCCGGCCTGTGCCCTCTCGCAGTCTGGGACCCCTCGGGAGATAATGACCTGCTGGCTTATGCCTGCTCCCGGGTGGCAGAGGGCAGGCCCAATCCCTAGGTGCAGCCCCTGGTCGGGCTCAGAGCAGGGCCGATTGGGGAATTGGCGCGCCGCCCCCTGTTATGCACAGAGCAGGGCAGATCGGGAGGTTGCGATGCCACCCTCAGTCACGCTCAGGGTAGGGCCGATTGGGGGGTTGGGGCACCGTCCCCTGTCACACTCAAGGCAGGGTCGATGGGGAGGTTGCGGAGCCACCCCCTGTCACGCACAGAGCAGGGCCCATCAGGGGCATTGGGGCTCCGTACCCTGTCATGCACAGAGCAGGGCCGATCAGGGGGTTGGGGAGCTCCCCGCTGTCACGCACAGAGCAGGGCAAACCAGGGGGTTGGGACACTTCCCCCTGTCACAGAGCAGGGCCCATCAGGGGGTTTGGGGCTCTGTACCCTATCATGAACAGAGCAGGGTCCATTAGGGGGTTGAGGTGCTCCCCCGTCACTCACAGAGTAGGGCCGATAGGGGAGTTGGGGCACCATCCCCTGTCACACACAGAGCAGGGCGGATCAGCGGGTTGGGGCGCCGCGC